TTCAGCCATAAATTCTAGAGGAGGAATATCGAGGAAAGAAGAGGAGACGAGGAAGAAACACGTAAATAAATAAATAAAGCGCCGCAGATCTTAGTTTCGGAGTACTGTACAGTGAGGCACCTTCTTTTCGGCATGTTGTTGATATTCTAAAACAACGCGTATGGTACCGTTATCCCAGGACTGAGTTAATGTCGTGTTCTGTTTTGGGTTTGTTTTGGTTTTTTTTTTTTTTTAATTTTTTTTAATTAAATTTTATTTCCAGATGCTTCTCATGCTCTTGTTGTTCTTATAAATGTATGTGTCCGTGCTCTCTTGACGCTTTCTGGAAAGCTAGCATGTTTTATGTGAGCCCTTTGAATGTTATAACTTATTTATAAATTGAGAACAGATACGATTGTTTGTTTATTTGTTGGTTTTGTTTGGGGTTTTTTTTCCCCGTTTCCTGACTTTACTGCTGTTGGGTGAGTTCTTCTCTGCCTAAGATAAAATCGGGGGTTCCTGCACTACAGTCGCAGAAAAAAAAAAAATCTTAGAAAAACAAACAAAAATGTGAAAAAAAAAAGAAAAAAAAAAAAGAAAGAAAAATCTCTTGTATCTTTCTGTCTTAAAATTGTCCAGTCTGTGTTTTAGTTCAAACTTCAGGCCAGGATTTCTAGTCCCAGGCTAATTCCGAGATGTACTCTTAGACGTGGATAAACTTCACTATTAAAAAAAAAAATGTACAAAATCGGACCAACAATAGAGTGCTCTAATGTTTGTAAATACTAGAAATATTTCTGATGTGACTAATAGACGGTTTGTAGTGGGCAGAGTGAATGCAATGTTATGTGTAAAAATGGCATCTGTCATGTCTAGCTGCCTGTTAGTACTTTGCCAATAAGCTTTTTGTATTTGTTTGTAGCTTTACTTGAAGTCAAATAAACGTTTCTCCTATTCACAAAGGCTCCCAGTTGCACTTTATACCCAACCTCTGAGACTTGCGGCACATGCTGAAGCCGGAGAGATGCCTGGCATGGGGCTGAGCCTGTGCTAGGAGCTCTGAGCAGAGCTGCAGCCTCTCCTTGCCAGCTCAAGAAACACCAAATATTCACATCAAATACCGTTCTGGCACCGCGCGGGAATAAAACACAACCCTCCACACTGCCCCAAACGCCGTCTCCCCCCAAAAAACACCGCCACCCCCCACATACACCGTATCAGACAAACTGGTTTCAAGTTTTTCCTCCAAGTTGCACTAACACGGTATAAACGCTCCCCCGGCAGATTTACGTGCATTTCAGGAACGGTCAGATCTCGATATACACACGCACATTCTAAAAGCGAGATTGTTATTTATATCCATTATTTATATCCACGTATATGTCCACGTAAAACTGTGTTCTATAGAATTACCGATCTGTGTGTTTGTATAGATACATTTATTCTCTCTCTCTCTCTCTAGCTCACATGTATATATAAAATACATTTCTGTGCTAAGCTGTACTCTCTCCGCTACCTCTCGTCCTCAGTTTATTGTGCTTTCTGCTTTTACCTCCTTAGTCTCTGGCTCAACATGTAAATAACAGCTCCCAGCTCTGTAAATACTGACACTTACTACAACGAGTCATTTCGGCTGCAGATAATTTAACATCATCAAAGATGGCAAATGTTGCCATTTCGCTACCTAGGGAATCTAACAAGGCACGAGATACTCCGGTTTAAAGTCGCTCGGTTTGGCAAAACGCCACTGACATCTCTACAATACAGCTTAGGCTTTTTGTTCGTAGCAAGTAAAGTTGGAGCTTAAAACTTACCAAACTTAATCTCCCACTGTTTAGGTACTTCTTAAGTGATTTTGAGAGGGATGTGAAGTGGACTGTCAGATCCCAAACCATTTGATCGCCTTCCCTTGATTTTTTTTTTTTTTTTTTACCAATAGCAAACTATACCAAAAGTGGGTATGACATTTAGATGTCAAATGGATAGGGTTTTATCTAGAAGTTAGATCGTAAAAATCGCCCAGACCTCAGACAGATACCCCTCACTGGCTCTCAAAAGTCACGTGAGGTCCATAAAGTTAGTTTTATGGTTTTGGGGAGTTGACAATGTACAATATATTTCACATTCTCTAGAATGTTAAGTGACACTTTAACTGCTTGGTTTGGCTTGTAAGGGGCAGCAATGGGTGAGCACTTTTCCAGATGAGATAAACGTTGCAATTGCAGGGAACATGTTTTGCGGGTCCAGTTTTCAGTCCAGGGAGCCAATAGACTGGAGTCCTGAAAGTAAGTTCTTCTGAAATATTATCTGCTTAAACTATTTTAAAGGGTTGATATGGCTAAAGGCTGAGCGGGGAGGACAGAGGGTCTGTCTCTCTTTCAGAGCTTTATTTCTCACTTTTAGAAGGTCCTAATTCTTATCCTCCCGAGAGCTGGCATTGCATTACGTTTCCACCACAGCTTCGAGGCCCGCAAGTAAACTTTGTGGAAGCGGGAGAAATAGAAAATCTGAAAAGATTCATTATTATCGCAAGGCAAACCCCAGCCCGTCTTTGCCGGGAGACATGTGTACTTCAGACAAAGTTTGGTTTTCTCCTTCCCCATGTAAAAAGGCTCTTGCTCGTTTATTGGAGGTGCCTCGGTGTGGCTTATACTCGCAAATAGCCACAAATCTGGCCCCCGCCTTTGCCTTTCAACCAGCTATATTCTGTCTGTGCTCTTCAGGTTGTTAACACCTATTGATTTTAATTATTTTCACCTGCTTGCCAAAGAAATGTGTGCACTTTTTTTGTTGATTTTTGGTTGGGGTTTTTTTTCCTTTCGGCCTGTGTAGAGACCGGTTTTGTTTTTTTTTTTTCCCCGGGGCTTTTATAGTTTTCTTCTTTTTTCTTTTTTTTTTTTTTTTTGTTTCCTCTTGGGTTTCAGGTTTTTTCCCCAATAATACGAACGAGTGTCCTCATATTTCCGTAGTTCGTTTCTACCATATGGAGACACTGAATGACCGCTCTTATGTCTCCAGCCTGACTTGAAGTGCTACAGAAAAATAATCAGAGAGGCTGCGGTTTGCATACG